ATGTCTCAACAACGTAAGACACTAACAGGTAAGGTGGTCCTAGCTGAACAAGCGGTGGGAAAGCTTACCAGACAGCAATATCAATGGCAAGCTGTGTGGTTTTAGCTCCAGCAGTTACCCCAACGCACACTCTGGGGTCTGTAAGCCTTGGCTCTTGCCAACCAGCATCTAATACTCTCCAGAATTTGGTAAGCGTGAAAAGTCCCTCCAGGGAGAGAGAGAGCATTCCATTTGAACAATCTATCTCTGGGATTCCCATGTGTAGGTGGGATGCATGGCATCTTCAGCTTGGTTTGGATACTTTTAAGCACGGTGATGGGTTTCCGCATGTGTCAGACACCCCGCTGACCCCCCAAAAAATAAAATTTATATTGAGATCACTGAAGAGGATTGACTCAATGTGGACAATCTGTGGTCAAGAATGGTACCTTGTAGCTATCTCAGCCCCCAAGGGAGGATAGTCAAAGCCTGAGCCTGGGCTCACCTGACATCCTCACACGCACACCTCCAACAGAAGTCTCTGGGCAGAGATCAGTGTCTGGACCGACCCCTAGAGTTTAAGACATAGCGATTCTTAAAATGGAAATCCTCAATGATGAAACCAGATGTACTTCAGGCAGAGCTGCGATCTCTTCACTCTACTGTATTCTTGAGGGTCTTATTAATAATAATCCTTGCATTTGATATAGCCCCTTATCACATCTACGAGACGTCTCAAAGCGCTTCACATAATATACTGTAAAGTGAATTAATTGAAGGCAAAATTAACCCGTTGGTCAGTATTGAATCTAATTGCAATGGGCTCTGCCTATCTGGAGATGAGGCAGCTCTCTGAGACCCTATCCTGCGTTAAGGGCCCTATATGTAAATACATTTAAACGTCAACACAGCACGATACAGAATCTGACATCCAAATATCCCCTTTGGTCTTAGCTCTCAATCCTAGCCTTAAAATCAAAGACGCTGTAGAATTTCAGAAATTCTCTGAATTCTGTCTCTGTCTTGAAGCCAGTTCTTTTCCCAACGTGGATAGATTGGACTATACTCAGTAGATACAATTGCAGACTCATAGAAATTTACAGCGAAAAAGGAGGCCATTCAGCTCATCGAGTCTCCACCGGTTCTCAGAGCAAAGTATTCATTAATTCCCACTGCCCCTCACAATCCCCATATACCTTCAAGCCTCTATCTTTCATGGACTTGTCGACTTACCTCTTGAAACCCACAATGGACTTTGCCTGTACAACAACAACCACAACAAATTGCATTTATATAGCGCCTTGACTTGGCAGGGCATTCCACATCCCAACAACAATGTGTGAAAAAAATCTCCTAACCTCTTCTTTTGCTCTTCTTTTGGTTGATATCTGATATCTATATACTCTAGTCACTGACTCCCCTACCAGAGCAAATACCAAGAGACAATGGCTTGCAGCTTCGAGGGAGCCCACAATTTGTTTACCGAGAGTTAGGATCTCAGACGCTGTTCTCCTCTCAACACGGAGGAGACCAGGTGAAAGAGCTATTGAATATAAATGCTGGCGAGAGAGTGTTTGATAAGGCCTTTGAGAGAAATTGGACTTCAGCGGCTGCACACTTCAGGAGAGCAAGCTGTATATCAATATTTGGTTGATGATATCCAATGTGGTTTGGTTCCGATTTCCTTTCACAGTTCCTGCAGAGAGCATTTCTGATTTCCACATTGAAACCCATCCTGCCTCAGTCACTAAAAAAAATCCATACATTCAATTTCAACACTGAAAGATAAGAGACTGCAAGAAAAAAAAAACTCACAAGCAAGAACATATATAACTTGATAAATGGGGGTATTTAATGTTAGAGCTGCTGTTGCAATGCATTTTAATGAGAGGGCAAGCGCGGAGAGGTTTGTCAAGCCGCAGTGTCTATTGACAAACTCAATGAAGCTAAAAGAAAGCCAAGGCAGCTTCTCTGATGAGATTATGTTGTACATTTTGTCGGGTAACTTGGGGAAAGTGCACATGGTGTATTTTTTCTATTGTGGTCGGCCTGTACCAAGGCTATCTATAGTGACAGGTGCTGCATTGCAAAGCGTGGGATGCAAATTTTTTTTGTACTGCTTCTCTCCCTCCCTCTCTCTCTTTCTCTCTCTCAAGATGGGAGAGACTGAAATTGTAGCTAACACCACACTATGTCCCATCACTGCTTTTCTTCCTTTCTTGTGTTTTTTTTTTAACTGAGTAATTATTCAGGTTGCAAACACGATTTCTAACCAACTCATAAAATCAAACAGTGTCATGTTGGGTCAGTCGAGAAACAGCTTCAAGATAAAATGCGAAGAAGGTTGAGTTGGAAATAATAAATACTGCCAAACATCTTTGCGTTTGATAGCACCTTTCATGTCGGGAGGACATTTCAAAGAGCTTCAACAACAACAACAACTTGTATTTATATAGCACCCGCCACGCAGGTTAGCTTCCCAGAGCGCTTCACAGGATTCACTGTAAAGTGTAGTGATTGTGTGTTTTGTAGTCCTGCCAAGTAATGTGGGGAGACAGATTGTGGGTTTCATGAGGGAAGCAGATAGGAACATTGCTTTGCACAAACTGGCTGCCAAGTTCACCCACAATATATATACACAGTCACTGCACTTTACAATATACCTTGTGAAGCACTTTGGGATGTCACCCTGATGTGAAAGGTGTTATACTAAATCCGAGGATTATTATCATTATCTTGGAAAATTAGAGGCTGGGATAGGGATAAAGGAGGGCAGTGGGAGTGAATAAACAGCTTTCTCTGAGAGATGGTGCAGACTTGATGGGCCGAATGGCCTCTTTCTACACTATAAATTTCTATGGTTCTATGATTCATGAGTCACGCCTTTGGGTGACATCTTTTAAATGTCTTACTTCCCTGCAAATCATGAAGCAATTGAGAACCTGACAAAGGGTCATCAACGTGAAATGTTAACTCACGTTCCTCTCCCTATAGATGCTGCCTGACCTGCTGCGTGTTTATATTGTTTTATTTGGTCAGCTGGGTGTCCGACACATCCGGGAACCCATTACCATATTTAAGAGTATCCAAGTCAGCCTAAGAGTTCTACGTATATCTTTTTATGTCACCTACACACGGAAATGTCAGTGAGTGGAACGGAATGGGCACTCTCTCTCCCAGTGTGATGGACTCTGCTTATCTAATTCCAGAGAGTACTAAGCGCACGTTGGCAAGAGCCAAACCTGGGATATGCCAGAGTGTGCATTGGAGGCAGGATCTTAACTAATTAAAACCACATAGCTTGCCATTGAGAGCACTGTCTGGCAAGCTTCCCTCTGCTAGTCCAGCTAGAGCAAACATCCAGTGCACTATATGTCTGAACGTGACACTTGAACAGAGAGGATGCCAAGGAGGTAAGTCATTGAAGACAAGGAGAAAGTATTCAGTCAGTCAGTCACTCAATGACCAGGCTCCATATCCCAGGAGCAACAAATTCACAAGCGGATTATGAAACGGAATCTTTTCAGACTCAGTGACTCAACTCCGCATTTTCTATTTATACCATGGAAGTGCCACCAAATATCAGGGCTTTCCATTAATAATTGCTCCGTGAAATAAATGTTGCATCAATGCTCTCTCTCTCTCTCTCTCTTCCTTGAAGACCGTGCCCTGCACAACGACAAGGGATAACGTGTTCTGAGTCGGCCCCGCAGTAATAGAACATTGGCTGGCTTCAAGCCCCTGGGTTCTGTGGTGCTTAGTATCAGTGGGAAGCATTCAATAGGCCCTAGGGCCAATATGGGAGCGTAAAAAAAGACATTGTGTAACTAAACCCAAAGAATTCACTGGAAGAGGTCTGAATACAGGAAGTCTTCCACTGGTTTCATTTGCGTACAACATGCCGGCCTGTCTCAGAATGTTGTGGGTTCAAGCCCCACGTTGGGAGTTTGACACATCTTGGCTGACACTCCAGAGCAGTGATTGTGGAGTGCTATAATGTCAAGCCACCGTCCTTTCAGATGTGACCTTAAATGGAGGTCTCGGCTCTCCGAGTCGCTACCCTGCGTGAAGAGCGTTATTTAAATACAAGTTATTGTTCTTGTTGTTGTGGTCCCTCCTGCCTGTTCAGGAGGACAGTAAAGAATCTGTGGCAAAACTTGAAAAGAGAAGGGAGTCCTGGCCAACAATCCCCCAAATGAAACTGGTCATTCACTTCACCGCTGTTTGTGGGATGTCGCTGTGCACAAATTGCCTGTAAAGAAAGCCCCAGTCACCGCACATTACAGTAAATCCCATGAAGCGCATTGAGATGTCCTCCCGACATGAAAGGCTCTGTATGAAAGGTGAGGATTGGTGAATCCTTTTCTGGGAGTAATAATCCCTTCAAAATAAATAAATAAATAATAATTATATGGTCACTCAATCCACGACTGTTTGTGGGACACTGCTGTGCACATTTGGCTGCCGCATTTCGCCTGCAAAATACAGTCAATTCACAGTGCATTCTGTGAAGCGCTTTGAGCCGTGTCGAAGACGTGAAAAGGCGCGATATCAAATGCAAGGATTATTATAAGGTGACGTGCCTGCCATCAGACAAGCCTCAATATAACATATGGAGTTCAGTTCTCTCTCTTTCAAAGGAGCCTTTCGGTAATGGTATCTGAACGGGCTGATGCTGCAAATGTTGAGTTGCACGGATGAATGAGTCGCAGGCGGTGCAGTGCTTCGGAGTGGAACTCAGCCTTATCAACCCCGTGGGACTGTAGTGCCAAACACAAAGCTTCGCTTCATTTCCTTTCACAATGCTCCCTAAGGAACGGGCACAGGGGGCAATCCTGCAGAACAAATCGCACTGTGGTCACACAACCCATTCTGCAGTTGGCAATGATAAAGACTTTGATACAACACAGAGATCTCATTCACTCCTCTACCTCCTCCTCCTCCTTCCCACCCCCACTCCTCCATAACAAAAAGCCGCAGAGTCAATTTTGTGGGATTTCTTAATTAAGAGATTGAAGTGTAGTCCTGTAGCTTAGTGGTTAGAGCGCTCACCTCATAAGCGAGGGGGCCTGGGTTTGATTCCCAGTCAGGACGAAAAGTTTCCTTACTCCACACAATGTCTCCACATGCCTCTGTTTACCTAGCAGTAAGTAGGAACCCGGTGTTAATAATCCCTTTTAAAAAAATAAATAATTTGGTCACTCAATCCATGACTGTTTGTGGGACACTGCTGTGCGCAATTGGCTGCCCACAAAATATACAGTCAATTCAGTTTACAGTATATTTTGTGAAGCACTTTGAGACGTCTCAGCGACGTGATGAGGCTCTATACCAAATGTAAGGATGATTATTATAAATGGGGGTCCTTCCAGTAAGACGTGCATCTCATACATCACGCCAACATAATGCAAACCCGCTCTGAAAATAGCTGGCGCACGGAATCCATTTGCCGTTCACAAACACCCCTAAGCACTGCAAGTGTCGGCCAGGCTCAGTCTGAAATGCTTTCACCTCAGAGTCAGAAGGCTGCATGTGGGAGGGGCGGGAAGGGGTTGGTCAACAGGGTGTCTGACCCACACGAAAACCCATCACCATGCTTCAGAGCTTCTGATCCTAACTGAGATTTCCATGCACCCCAGCTTCCAACTCTTGCCAATGAGCCAGGCTGGGTATAGTGTCATCAGCAGTTCCCTGGAATATTGCGAACCCACCTGGCTCAGGAACCAGACTACCGAGACCTCTACAGACACTTGGCTCGATTCTGACATTCTGTTGCCAGGCACGTCACCTTGCAGCCAATTCAGCTCCAAGAAGATCCCACTTACCTCTCCCCCCAGAGAATAGTCACCAGTTGGATGTTTGACATCAGACAAGCCCAGGATTTCAGCCCTCACTAGGTGGATGGCAGGTACCAGGAACTCCCTATGAGCTTCCTGGTGGGCAACACAGCTTGGCATGAAATGCATGAGAACATCACCACCATTTTCCTACCCACAGCTCGGACACATGTACCTTCCCATCCCCCAAATGAAATGAATAATTTGCTTTATGACTGTAGAACATTACTGCATACAAAGTGGCTGCCTCTTTCAGCTACAAATTACAGTCACTACACTTCATAGTAAATCTTGTGAAATACTTTGAGATGTCCTCCTGATGTGAAAGGTGGCGCGTCAAATTTAAGGATTCTTATTACTACTATTACTAATGAAACTTCCTTGCTTGGCTTGCTAACTACAACAACAACATTACATTTGTACAGCGTCTTTCACATCGGGAGGACTTCCCAAGGCGCTGGACGGTGTACAGCATTTCAGATACTATAGTACTAAGATTATTCCGATTGGCCAATGGACACTGGTCAGAAGAGTTTTCTAAGTACAACTCTATTTAAGAGCCGGACTGGACTCTTCCAGCTAATGCCACCCCATCTGCAATCATATAGCATCCTACTTCTAGACAACAACCCACTACCTGGGCAAAAAACACAATCGGCAATCACGCAACAAGAAACTTAGACATACACCAGAGAGAAGGGAAAAGAATGGTATGGGAGAGAATAAGGAGCAGTTGGATACTCCTATGGAGTATAATCAATGGGACGGACTGGTTGGGCCGAATGGCCTGTTTCTATACTGTATATGCTTTGTAAAGTCAGTAAGGGATTTCTTTCTAGTTTCTGGTTCAAACACACTGGCACTTTGAATGCTTACCTGGCACACAAGGTTCCATCTTTGCTGTGTTTGTTCTGGGAGCCCCACATATAGTTCTATTGATTCTTCCCAAAATGATGAGCAAACATCTGTCTGCTAAATTAAACACATAATTTGTCTAATTGCTACACTGTACTATTAACATAATGTAATTGTCCATTAACTAATGTCTATAATTATACTAAACTAGTTGAGTTTTTTCTGTAATTGAATAACAAATACCTCGAGTGTCCTAAAAGTTGCAGGAAGGTTAAACAAAAAAAAGAGGTTAATTGGATACAGACCCATTTTAAGTGATTAGAATTCCAAAATTAAGGATTATTGTAAAAATATATGTTTTTAATTAAGTCTTGCCCTTTACAAGGAACAATGGTGTTTTAATGTAATACTCTAGTCACTGAGCTCCACATTGGGATTTGGAACTCATGGTGTTGGCTGACATTGCAATGCAATGCCGGAGGAGTGCTGCATTGTTCGAGTCGACTTCCTTTGGATGAGACGTTAAATCGACATCCCATCTGCCTGGTCAGATGGACATTAAAGCTCCCATGGCCTTATTTAAAAAGAGAAGGGAGTTTCTCCTGGTGTCTTGGCTGATCACACCATCACACCAGTCGTTGCCAGACTCCACTGGCTCCCAATCATCAAATGGAACGACTTCAAAATCCTCTCAGTCGTTTTCATATCACTTGATTCCCTCGCACCTCCCTATCTATCCAAACTGATTACCCCCCACTCCACCATTCACTGCCTCCGCTCGGGTGCCTCCGGTGTCCTATTTGTCCCTCGTGCCCTCCGTTCCACCATCAGTGGCCATGCCTTCAGCCATATGCCCCGTAACTCTGGAACTCTCTCCCTCAATACCTCCGCCTTGCCCCATCCCTCCCTTCCAGTCCCGCCAAAGGTCTTCCTTTTTAATCGTGCTTACAGTCACCTCCCACCTCGCTCTCCCACCTAGCTCATCAACAACAACAACAACAAGATTCCATTTATAAAGCGCCTTTCACGTCAGGAGGACGTCCCATTGTCAGACTCCACCACTGTGAAGCGCTCTGGGACGCTACCCTGCATGAAGGGCATGATACAAATGCAAGTTGTTGTTGTTGATAATCCTCCAGATAAAATTCATTATTCATTTCATGGCCAGTTGTGAGACATTGCTTTGTGCAAATTAGCTGCCAAATTTGCCTACAAAGTACAGTTATCACACTTCACCAAACAAAAATCATGTGAATTGCTTTGCTAGGTTTCAACGATGTGATTAAGTGCCACATAAAATGCAAAGATTATTATTTATTAGTCGGTTTTACAACTATCTCATTATTTCAGTGTGAATCCCCTCCCCAGGAACTCAGACCAATTAAAGCTGCAAACATCTGAATAAGGATCTATCCTTGTCAATAGAAAATTAAAATAGCAGCATTAGCAAATGCAACATGAAATAAGATATTCTGAGATAGTAAGCAGACAGCATCTGCATGATAATAAATCATAATAAAAATAATAAAATAATAGCATTTGATACAGCGGCTTTCATGTTGGGAGAATGTCTCAAAGCCCTCCATAGAACATACCATAAAGTGTATAATTTGTGGGTGAATGTGGCAGCCAATTTGCATAGAGCAGTGTCCCCAAAACAGCCATGAAGTGAATGATGAACTCTTTCGGAGGGATTGTTGGCCAGGACACCGGGAGAAACTCCCTTTGCTTTTTTTCGATTGGTGTTATGGATCTTTAACATCCAACCGAACAGGAAACGGGACCTCGGTTTTAACGTCTCATCTGAAGCAGCAAATCCAATAAAGCAGTGATTTTCCCCATCACTGAATGGAATGTCAACATAGACCATGTGGATTCCAAATCCCGAAATAATGAGACAATGGAGTAAATTGGGTAGAATTTCTCTCCAAAGGAGTGTAGTCTCCAGAGACAGCCTGGAGTCTGGAAACAATTATTATTCTAAAATGGCCTATTTTGCAGTGTCTGGATCTTTCAAAAGCTGCCTTTTTTCTCAATAATATAATAATAATTCTCGCACTTGATATAGCACTATATATTTTGGAACACAGCGCCTGAAAACACCGTGCCCTCAATGACATTGTTGGGCGAGCTAGTGATACAGCGTCTGTTAGGTCAGGAGCACACCACAAAGAACTTTACAGCTTATACTGTGCAGTGCCATAGGATTTTTAACGTCCATCTCAGCAGCAGGCGGGACCTCAGTTTAATGTCTCATCCAAAGAACAACTTGCATTTATATAGCGCCCTTAAAGCAGGGTAGCATCCCAGGAAGACCTCTGATAATACAGTATTCTCGGCAATGTCAGCCGACGTGAGTTTACAGTCTGGACTCGAGGCAACATTAGAGTTCTGGGTTTACATTATCAGTTGTCAGAACACTTGAGTAAATTTTGAGACTACAATGGGGGAGAGATTCTTCCTACTCGACTCCCGTTAACACCGCAAGCCAAAGCCCTAACAGTCCTAGCTGGACCAGAAGAAAGCTTGACAGACAATGACAAGCTATGTGCGTTTTAGCTGGTTAGACTCTAGCAGAAGCTTAACACAGGTTTTGGGATCTCCAAGTCTTGGCTCTTGAAAAAGCTGGCCTAATACTCTCTGGAATGAGATAAGCAGGGTGCATCCCTCTGGAGAGAGACAGAATGCATTTCATTCCAGACACAGGAATTTCCATGTGTAAATGACATGCGTGGAATTCTCAGTCTGGGTTGGATACTCTTAAGCATAGTGATGGGTTTCCCCACGTGTCAGACACCCAACTGACCAAGAAATATTCAGCAGTAGTTAGGGCACATTCTAACATAGATACATTAAGAACTGAGGAAACATATGCCTAAGTGATGCTTTTTAAATATATTATTAATGAAAGTATTTTCAACTGGCAGTCAGTTTTGTTGCCCGATTTCATAGCCGCAAACTGATATGAAATGATGATGCAGTCGGATGTGGAGCAAAACGAGAGAAAGAGAGAGAGAGAGAGAGAGAGAGAGGATGTGAAAGCATGAAACAGGAAGAAGACCATTGATGGGATTCCTTCCAACAGACTTTCTACAACTTAATACTACTAATAATAATACTTACATTTGATATAGCATCTCATCACTTTGTTGAGAGGTCTCAAAGCGCTTCACAGAATATACTGTAAACTGAATTGACTGTATATTTTGTGGGCGAAACGCAGCAGCCAATTGCGCACAGCAGTGTCCCACAGTCATGGATTGAGTACCCAAATTATTATTATTTTGCTTTGAAGGGATTATTATCCCCGGAAAGCAATCTGTCAATTGACTAACAACTGGGTCCCATCTTACTGCGAGCTAAACATAGGCGTGTGGAGTAAGAAAACTTACCTAAGGTTTTG